CCCTTCTTCCTCCCTCCTTCACTTCCTCCTTCCTTCCCTCTCACCCTTCCCCTTCCTTCCTCTCCCTTCTTCCTTTTTCACACCTTCTTCCTCCCTCTCCTTCCTTCCTTCCCACCCTCCCCCTTCCTTCCTTCCTCACCCCTTCCTGGCCTTTTTTCCTTTTCATGCCTCCTTCTTCCTCTCTCCCTCTTTCCCTCACATCCATCCAGCCATCCTCCCTTCCCTCCGCACTTCCTTCCTTCCTTCCTCCCTACCCCCCCCCCAGGTAAAAGGAGTGCCAGGATCCCGTCCTGCTCTTCTCCTGGAACCAACGTGGATTGGTTCCACGCTGCCCTACGTCAGGGGGGGACGTGGCCAGACGTCACACTCAAGACCCTCACCCTGCAGAAGACCACGGAGCCCTCCGGGGCGGAGGAGATGGAGACTTCAGAGGCATCCACCGTGGCCAAGTATTCAAAGAACGCGTCCTCCGTTGTGGCAGGAAGGACGGACTTGAGATACTCAATATCTGGAGGAGAAAAAAAGAAGGGGGAAAGCCAAGTAAGTAATCCAGAACACGGGGGACACTTTTTAAGAACACACACACAAAAAAAAAACTCACAAAGAAAGGGGGGGGGAAGCAATCCTTCCAACCACCAGGAATTCACCAAGTCCAGCTGTTTCGCAAGCGTGCTTTTCTTTCAATATGACAGCCAGCGATTGCTCCTCATAGTTTACTTTCTACAGAACGATGATTAACTGTACCCCTTATTAACTTACAACCACGATGCTCAGAAGTTGTAAACCGGGTTCACTGATGCGACCGACCCGATTTGAAGACTCTTTTCCGCAGCGGTCACTAAGCAAACGCGGTGATCAGTAAGAAAAGTAGCTTGCGGAAAAAGGAAAGTAAATCTAAGGGTTTTTTGGGGGGGCAAAAAGTACTGAAGTGTGGCCCAGTGACCCTGAGATGCTGCAAATGGTCGTGCGGACCGGATGCCGAGCATCTGACAGGAAGTCACACGATTGCAGGGTGCTGGGCAGCTGGACCTCAGAAGTTGGTCAGAGGTACCCCTGGAAGGCCGGTCATGATTTCGACCGGTTGCGATAAAGGAGGAGATTTGTAGGTCAGAGCTGAACTGTGGGGTCCCTGGATGCTTTCTGAGCTGGGTGGTTTCCTTGCAGACGTTTCATGACCCAAGTAGGTGACCAAAACTGGATGCAGTATTCCAAGCGTGGCCTTACCAAGGCCTTGTAAAGTGGTAGTAACACATAATAATAATAATAATAATAATAATAATAATAATAATAATAATAATAATAATAATAATAATAATAATAATAATAATAATAATAATAATAATAATAATAATAAAGTTGGAAGGGACCGTGGAGGTCATCGAGTCCAACCCCCTGCCCAGGCAGGAACCCTACACCATTTCAGACAAATGGCTGTCCAGTCTCTTCTTAAAAACTTCCAGTGTTGGAGCATTCACCGCTTCTGGAGGCAGGTTGTTCCACTGGTTAATTGTTCTAACTGTCAGGAAGTTTCTCCTTAGTTCTAAGTTGCTTCTCTCCTTGATCAGTTTCCACCCGTTGCTTCTTGTCCTGCCTTCAGGCGCTTTGGAGAAGAGCTTGACTCCCTCTTCTTTGGGGCAGCCCCTGAGATACTGGAAGACTGCTATCATGTCCCCCCTCGTCCTTCTCTTCGGTAAACTAGACATACCCAATTCCAGCAACCGTTCCTTGTATGTTTTAGCCTCCAGTCCCCTGATCATCTTTGCTGCTCTTCTCTGCACTCTTTCTAGAGTCTCAACATCTTTTTTACATCGTGGTGACCAAAACTGGATGCAGTATTCCAAGTGTGGCCTTACCAAGGCATTGTAAAGTGGTATTAACACTTCACGTGATCTTGATTCTATCCCTCTGTTAATGCAGCCCAGCACTGTGTTGGCTTTTGTGGCAGCTGCAGCACACGGCTGGCTCCTATTTAAATGATTGTCCACTAGGACTCCGAGATCCCTCTCACAGTTACTACTATTGAGCAAGGTACCCCCTATACTATACCTGTACATTTGGTTTTTCTTGCCTAAATGTAGAACCTTACTTTTTTCACCATTGAATTTCATTTTGTTAGATAGCGCCCAGTGTTCAAGTCTGTCCTTCACTTCACGTGATCTTGATTCTATCCCTCTGTCAATGCAGTCTAGGACTGTGTTGGCTTTTTGGACAGCTGCAGCACATGGCTGGCTCCTATCTAAGGGATAGGATTCCAAGATCCGTCTCACAGTTACTACTATTGAGCAAGGTACCCCCTATACTATACCTGTACATTTGGTTTTTCTTGTCTAAATGTAGAACCTTGCTTTTTTCACCCGTGAATTTCATTTTGTTATGATGTGCGGGTAACTGGCACAGTTGCCGCCCGTCTCAAGGTCTTCTCCAGCTTTCGTTTCTCCGCAACCGTCTCCCTGATAAGGGAGACACATTCCTTTCCCAAGAGAAGAGAGGCGGGAGAGGGAAAGTAGAAAGCGAAAGTTATCCCAAGCGGAAGCATGCTCCCCCAAACAAGAGCACATAAGCATGGAGACAAGATGGTCGCCACGATGTAAAAAAGATGCTGAGACTCTTGAAAGAGTGCAGAGAAGAGCAACAAAGATGATCGGGGGACTGGAGGCTAAAACATATAAGGAACAGTTGCTGGAATTGGGGATGTCTAGTTTAATGAAGAGAAGGACGAGGGGGGACATGATAGCAGCCTTCCAGTATCTCAGGGGCTGCCACAAAGAAGAGGGAGTCAAGCTATTCTCCAAAGCGCCTGAAGGCAGGACAAGAAGCAACAGATGAAAACTGATCAAGGAGAGAAGCAACCTAGAAATAAGGAGAAACTTCCTGACAGTCAGAACAATTAACCAGTGGAACAACCTGCCTCCAGAAGCTGTGAATGCTCCAATACTGGAAGTTTTTAAGAAGAGACTGGACAGCCATTTGTCTGAAATGGTATAGGGTTTCCTGCCTGAACAGGGGGTTGGACTAGATGACCTCCAGGGTATCTCCCAACTTTTTTATTATTATTATTATTATTATTATTATTATTATTATGGATCTGGGGCCCTAACATGCCCACACAAGACTCCCTCTTGCAACATCTCCGGACAAGCTGAGATCCAGCTGTTGGGCAGAGAGCAGGTGTGCTTATATCACAGTTTGTGAGTTGCACACAGTTTGTGTTCACCTGGTGTGGAGGAGACACACTCCAAACCTGGAACTCCAACGACATGAAGACACACAGGCTAAAAAGAAAAAATGAACCCGTTTCTTAATTAGGGAGGAATAAAATACTTCTTAAAATTGCTCTATTTTCTTTGTATACAGCAACACTCTTTACTGCTAGTCCCCAACTTATAACCATTCGTTTAGTGACCATTCAGAGCTAGGTGAGACCTGACTGAAAAACAGGTGAGAGGGACCTTGGAGTCCTAGAGGACGATCACTTGACCCTGAGCCAGCCGTCTGCAGCAACAGTAGCCAAAAAAGCTAACACAATCCTGGGTTGCATAAACAGAGGCACAGAATCAAGATCACGCGAAGTACTAGTACCGCTTTATAAAACCCTAGTAAGGCCACACCTGGAATACTGCAGCCAATTTTTGTCACCATACTGCAAAAAACAGAGTTGAGAGTTTGGAAAAAATTCAGAGAAGAGCAACTAGGATGATCCAAGGCCTGGAGGCTAAAACATACAAAGAACGGCTGCGGGACTTGGGTTTGGCCAGTCTAAAGAAAAGAAGAAACAGGGGTGACTTCATAGCAGTGTTCCAGTATTGGGGGGGCTGCCACAAAGAAGAGGGGGTGTCCATCTATTCTCCAAAGCACCAGAAGGCAGGACAAGACGCAACGGATGGAAACTAATCAAGGAGAGAAGCAACCTGGAATTAAGGAGAAACTTCCTAACAGTGAGGACAATTCACCAGTGGAACCGCTTGCCTCCAGACATTGTGGGTGCTCCAACACTGGAAGTTTTTAAGAAGAGACTGGACAGCCATTTGTCTGAAATGGTATAGGGTTTCCTGCCTGAGCAGGGGTTTGGACTAGATGACCTCCAGGGTCCCTTCCAACTGTGTTATTCTGCAAGGGTCTCCTACTTGATCAGGGGGTTGGACTAGAAGACCTCTAAGGTCCCTTCCAACTCTGTTATTCTGCAAGAGTCTCCTCCTTGAGCATGGGGTTGGACTAGATGACGTCCAAGGTCCCTTCCAACTCTATTATTCTGCAAGAGTCTCCTGCTTGAGCAGGGGGCTGGACTAGAGGACCTCCATGGTCCCTTCCAACTCTGACATCTTGTGGAAACTGATGTCCACTGAAAGAAGTGGAATGGCTTCAGAGTCCCGCACTCCTCTGAAGAGTCAGAATTTGGACTCCTCACCTCCAGGTGGATTCAGTTAATAGCAGTTGGATCAGGAAATCCATAATCCACAGAGCTGAGCTTCCCCTCCCGGTTTGGCTGCAGGTCAGCAACCATCCGCCAGGGATGCTTAACGGAGATTTCTGCCCGAAAGAAGCAATTGGCCCCTTCCAATCTCCCCTAAACCCAGCCAGAAACGCCACACTCACAACCGGCAGAAATCTGGCCACATCCGATCCAACGGCCGTGGCTGAATAGCGAGTGCCGGATGTCAAGTTCCAAAGCCTGAATAAAATCGGGATGAAACCGAGGAGAGTTGAAAAGAATAAATATGAGGAGGCCTTTTTTTTAAAAAAAAAACAGCCACGGAAGCGGGCGAGCAGGGAGACAGGTTAGAATCTGCACAAAGTGTTCCTTGGTTGGTTTCCAAGTCCATTGATGTTGTAATGTAAGCCGTCCCGAGTTGTCGGATTAAAAGGGGTGGGAAGCAACAGATATTTCATAAGAGATTAAAAAAAAACATAAATTAAAAAAGAATCGGAGAAACCAAAGTCAGAGGAAGCATCCGGAGACATAAAAAAATGGGGAGAAAATTGGGGAGGAAAAAAAAAAAGCTGGTTGAAGGATTCTAAAATTAGACAGGGGGCAAACCTCTCCATTAAAACAAAAAAAAATGCATTGGGGGGGCTTTTAAGAACTTAAGGCCAATGTCCTTTTCTGGTGAACGTTCTTACCGCTTTTAATTTCCTTCTGGTGTGGTCCTTTATGCAGCACCATCCTAAACACAGAGTAATAGGAGTGGAAGGGACCTTGGAGGTCTTCTAGTCCAACCCCCTGTACAGAGCAGGTGATCCTATACTATTCTGGATTTTCTTTGGCCTGGATGGGAAAGGTACACAGGATCATAGAAAAAAAAAATAACAGAACAGAATAATAGAGTTGGAAGGGACCTTGGAGGTCATCTAGTCCAACCCCCTGCTCAGGCAGGAAACCCTATACCATTTCAGACAAATGGCTGTCCAGTCTCTTCTTAAAAACTTCCACTGTTAGAGCATTCACCGCTTCTGGAGGCAGGTAGTTCCACTGGTTAATTGTTCTCACTGTCAGGAAGTTTCTCCTTGATTCTAGGTTGCTTCTCTCCTTGATGAGTTTCCACCCGTTGCTTCTTGTCCTGCCTTCAGGGGCTTTGGAGAAGAGGTGGAACCCCCCCACCTCTTCTGACAGCACCTCAAAAACCCAAACCAAAGACTCTATATAAACGTTAAAGGTTATTTTCTGACTTTTTAGAACTTGCACAGGCAAGGAACCTAGAGGAAAGTATTTTCTCTTTTTATTTCATTTTTTCTTGAAGGTGCCCTGTAATTACCAGGGACCTGAACAGGTTCTCCTGAAAAATTCTTGAGGTGGGGAGTGTGGGCAATGGGAGGGGGCAAGCTTACATAAATCAAAAGCCACAGCTGGGCAGATTGTGCTGTGTGGTAGAGAAGAACGGCCGAGTTCTGAAGCAATAATCCAAAGGAATAATAATAATAATTAATAATAATAATGACAATAATAATGACAAAAAAAGTCTGGAGAGTGGACATGGCAGTGCCTGGAGACAGCAGAATAGACGAGAAAGAACTGGAGAAGATCACAAAATACAAAGACCTACAAATAGAAATAGAAAGACTGTGGCAAAAGCAAGCAAAGGTAGTATCTTTAGTAATATTGGGTGCAATCCCAAAACAACTTGGGTGCAATCCCCTTGGGTGCAATCCCAAAACAACTGGAGCACCACTTGGACACCATTGGCATTGACAAATTCGCCATTAGTCAATTGCAAAAGGCGGCCTTACTAGGAACTGCTTCCATCCTGCGACGAGATCTGTAATACCATCAAACCTCCACATCTGCCTATCCCAGGTCCTTGGGAAGGACTCAATAGGTAGACAAAATGCCAAATCCAGTCTGAACATCTGGCTGACTGTGCGATGATCCATAATAATAATAATAATAATAATAATAATAATAATAATAATAATAACAACAACAACAACAACAACAACATGACACGCAAAGCTGTAAAGCTACTGTTTGAAAACTACAACTGCACAACTGAGGCAGGGTGCCGAGTGGAAAAAAATAAAACAAAATTTAGTCGGGCATAGAGCCAAGTGAGAGAAAAAAAAACACAAGCTTTTTTTCTGGAAACACAAAAGTTTCAGCTCTTCTTCAATCCAGTTGGTGCTTCCTTGCCCACAATTCAACCATGTGAGACAACAACATATTTACTACAGCAATTTGCGTGCAATCTAATCAGCCCTCTTCTGAGGACCTTATAATAATAATAATAATCATAAAGTTGGAAGGGACCTTGGAGGTCATCAATTCCAACCCCCTGCTCAGGCAGGAAACCCTATACCATTTTGGACAAATGGCTGTCCAGTCTCTTCTTAAAAACAGTGTTGGAGCATTCACAGCTTCTGGAGGCAGGTTGTTCCACTGGTTAATTGTTCTCACTGTCAGGAAGTTTCTTCTTAGTTCTAGGTTGCTTCTCTCCTTGATCAGTTTCCATCCGTTGCTTCTTGTCCTGCCTTCAGGCGCTTTGGAGAATAGCTTGACTCCCTCTTCTTTGGGGCAGCCCCTGAGATACTGGAAGACTGACAGATGCCCACGGCAATTGTCCCATTCCAATTTTTATACTATGTATGTCTGTATTTTATATATAATAATAATAATAATAATAATAATAATAATAATAATAATAATAATAGTTGGAAGGGACCTTGGAGGTCATCTAGTCCAACCCCCTGCTCAGGCAGGAAACTCTATACCATTTCAGACAAATGGCTGTCCAGTCTCTTCTTAAAAACCTCCAGTGTTGGAGCATTCACCGCTTCTGGAGGCAGGTGGTTCCACTGGTTAATTGTTCTAACTGTCAGGAAGTTTCTCCTTAGTTCTGGGTTGCTTCTCTCCTTGATCAGTTTCCATCCGTGGCTTCTTGTCTTTGCCTTTGGAGAATAGCTTGACTGCCTCTTCTTTGGGGCAGCCCGAGATACTGGAAGGCTGCTATCATGTCATCTCTAGTCTTTCTCTTCATTAAACTAGACATACCCAATTCCAGCAACCACAGACATTAAGTGAGTCCCTGCAGTTGTTAAGTAAGTAACCCAGTTGTTAAGTTGAATCCAGCTTCCCTTATTGACTTGGCTTGCCAGAAGGTCGCAAAAGGGGATCACGTGACCCCCCTTGGGACACTCCAACCGTCGTAAGTACATGCCAGTTGCCAAGGGTCCCAATTTTGATCACACAGGGGACAGTACGACGGTCGTAAGTCTGAAAAAGTCACTTTTTCCATTGACGTCGCAACTTTAGTCCCTTCAAACAGTCTGAAGGTTTGAAGATCTGGGGGCGGGCTGGGTCACCCCCGTGTCAGGTCCCAACCCTCAGGAATCTGGGGGCCCATGGTGCTCAGCGTGAGAAGCAGGTCTTAAGCCCGTGCAAAAGACCGTGTTCCATGTGTGTTCGCACATGTGAGTCCGTGTGAATTCGTGCTGGAGATTAAGGCATTCGAAGCTAATGTTGAATGGTCACTAAATGAACGGTTAAGCTGAGGACTAGCCACACAAATAAATAAATGTTACAAATAAATATGCAGGAGCCCCAGACGAAGGCTGGATGGGAAAAAATGGGCCGTCAGCCGGCGGGGTAAAGTTCCATGGGGAGTTTTTTTTTGCCCCAACTATGCTGTTTGCACAAAACACTGCTGAAAAATGTTGCAAGTGTGCATGCCCCATTAACCGACATGCATGCGTGCATGCCCTGTTTGGATCCTCTCCAAACTCCGATTCAGCCACGCTGTCGCTCCTCCTCCAAAGCCACAAGCCTTATCCAACCCGAGGCGTCGTTCTTTCAAAGAGCCGAAGCGTGCAAAGCAGCCCCGGTTTGCGTAATAAGGGGAAACTGAGGCAGGCAGCCTCTGAGGTTTTGCACACACCTGCCAGCCCCAATCTGGGATTCACCGGGGATCCCTCGTCAGCTCCTCTGCCGCTTTCAGACACATCGCTCTCCAGGCCTGCCCATCTTCCTCCCCGGAGCTCGGCTGCCCCCCCAACATCTGGACTGGCAGCTGGCCCTGGCCTGCCCCATGGAAGACAGCTCCAATTCCCACGTGTGTGTGTGTGTGTATGTTTGTGTGGCCCCTGGCCTGCCCCATTGAAGGCAGCTTCAATTTCCACGTGTGTGTGTGTCTGGCCTGCCCCATTGAAGGCAGCTCCAATTCGTGGGGGGGGGCTGTGTGGGGGGGGCAGCACAATGCCCTGGCCCATTGAAGGCAGCTCCAATTCCTCTGTGTGTGTGTGTGTGTGTGTGTGTGTGTGTNTGTGTGTGTGTCCCCTGGCCTGCCCCATTGAAGGCACCTCCAATTCCTGTGCGTGTGTGCGTGTGTGTGTGTGTGTGTGTGTGTGTGGCCCTGGCCTGCCACATTGAAGGCAGCTCCAATGCGTGTGTGTGTGTGTGTGTGTGTGTGTGTGTGTGTGTGTGTGTGGCCAGCCCCTGGCCTGCCCCCTTGAAGGCAGCTCTCTTCATCTCCGGCCAGGGAGACGGGCCTGCCGGCTCGGGGTTCGGAGCGGACTCACCCTTGGGAAGGGAGACCACCAGGAAATCCCACCGCGAGCAGGGTAAAGCCCTCAAAGGCCCGCTGGGCCACCCGCAGCCGGGAAAGGCGCACGTGGGTCGGGGATTCCGGGGAATCCCCTTGGGAAGCCCGGCACCCTGGGCCACCCCCGAGGCTCAGCCCCCCCCGCCTCTGCCCTCCCCCCCCGCCCACCCACCCACATGGCCTGGCCTCCGCCTTCCCCAAGCGGGCGCCCGCGGGCGCGCCTCTGCAGCCGCCTCCCGGGGGGGAACTCACCTGCCGGGCTGAATCGGAAGGCGCGCAGGAAGGCCAGGCAGTCGCCCAGGCCGGCGCCCAGGGCGAAGGAGCCCTGGAAGGGGCAGCGGCGGAAGAAGAGCTCGAAGGCGGCCGGCTGCCGGTGCCTCCCGGCCCGCCAGTAGCCGTAGGCCATGGTGAACTGGTAGAGGTCGGTCAGCAGCGCCAGCGAGCCCCGCGGAGCCTCCATGGCCGGCTCGCCCGACGGCTCCGCTCGCTCTGAGCCCGGGCGCCGCCGCACGCGGGGACCCAGGCCGGGAAGCCCCGCCCCTCGCCGCCGGCCCCGCCCCCAGACGCCCCGCCCCTCCGGGGCTGCCCGCAGGAGGGGAAACCCCGCCTCCCTGCCTTCACTTGGATCCATTGGAGCCTTTGCTGCTCCGGGCCCGGGACTGTCAATCAGGCGCCCGCGGGCGATCCGAGCTCAGCCCGGGAACGTCTCTGGCAAGGGTCTTCTAACTTGGCCCTTTCATGACTTGTGGACTTCAACTCCCAGAATTCCTCAGCCAGCGTGCCTGGCTGAGGAATTCTGGGAGTTGAAGTCCACTCCACTTAAAAGTCTATATCAGGGGTCTTCCAACTAGGCCCTTTCATGACTTGTGGACTTCAACTCCCAGAATTCCTCAGCCAGTGTGCCT